TAATATATAAAATATGTCCAAATATGTATTTTTCTTTTACATAATCTCTATTCGTATAAATAAAAAAAATAATTTGAATTATAATTAAAAAATAATTAGGAAATTATTTTTGTATTCTTTTTTTACAAAAACTAAAATTGCAATTGGATTATATAATATTCTATGTATAATTATATTTTACATACAATTGTTACATTTATACACATATAATTATATACAGCTAATTTTTTCTCATTGCCTCAAACTTCTTATTAAAGAATAATGCAAAAATTCTTTTTTATTATTTTTTATTTCTTCTTTTTATAATTTTTCTTGTATATAAGAATATATATTATAAACTTATTATTATATAATTATATATATTAATATTATATATTTTTATGTAAAATGTTTTTTAACAAGCATCCAAAAATATTTTTAACAAAGAGGTTTAAAGATATTGTAACGTAAACAATTTTCTTTTAAAAGTAAAATAGATTTTTAAAAATTATGTGTGCAGAGTAGATATTTTAACCTTTAAAAAAATAAGTTACAAAAGAATTATATGTATATTGTTTTGCAGTATTGAAAATAATAATAATAAATTTATGCACATTTTAAAAAGAGTAAAGTACAGCTTCAACCCATTCTCAATTTTAACAGCATGAAATATCGTATATTAAATGCTAGTGATGTAAATTAAATGCATAAATGACATTTTTTATTAAGTTAATTAAAACTGTTTCTAATTTAATTTCGTACTTTATACAGATGTAATCTTGACTATTTAGAATTAAATTACTGGAAATTAGTGCATGATGGTTAGTCTGAATAATAACACAAAAATGAGGAAAAAACAGATATGAGCACGGTATATCCAAGTATTCAAAAAGAAATCTTGTTTTAATCTAACGATAAAAGCACTCCAATAGCCAGTCTACAATGAGTCGTTAGTTGTTAGTCAGATGTCGGAAGAGAATCAGAAGAAATAGTCATAAGCGTATCGTAAAGCAATTGGAAGTCTGTAATCGGTGATCGTAAGAGATGGCATTTGGCCAATTGCTTACGATCGCCGATTACAGACTTCTGATCGCCTTATGATACGCTTATGACTTTTTCCGACTCTCTTCCGACATCTGACTAACGACTCATTGTAGACTGGCCTTAAAAGTTAAAAGCACTCTAAAGAATTCAGCCGCTGCTTGAAAATCCAACGTAATGACCTTTCCGTGATCAATAAGAAATAAGAATATCTTCCCATTTCTGCACGTTCTTGAAATGTTTTTAGAACATCTATGAGTAATATTTGAAACTTTTTATTAAAAAAAAAAAAAAAAACAATATTTTATCATGAAAGGTAAAGAGATAAACGTCAGCGAACGAAATGACGTTTCTTTCTAATGTCTTATAAAGTCAGATGTACAATGTAAAGTCATTTAAAATTACTTCAGTTTTACCAATAAAATTATATTACTCTCCTGAGAGATACAAAACGCATCAGACAATATAACCGTAGTTAAAGCAAAGACATAAAATAGCACATCTGTTTTAATAATGTGTATAACAATAATAAAGTTGTAAATTTCGTCTTACTTTGACTGAAATGAGAGACATTAATTTTATAATATTGCTATCTAAATTCAAATTTAATAGCTAAAGCTACTAGCTTATTTTCGAAAACTTTACGACGTTGTGCATAAGTTCGTTTACGACATTTTTTAATACAAAACGGTTTTTGACGTTAAATTCTAAAAAACTGTAGTGTTCTATGTTATATTAAGTTTTTTCTCCTATTTAAAATTATATTTTAAAATAAAAATTATTTTACGTACATATTTTACGTACATTTTATACAATTCACATACTTTCAAGTTTAATGTCATTATCATTTATTTTAATATAAAATAATTGTTATCATAATTCACATATAATGTATTTATTTTCAGAATAACTATCTACAATGTGTGTAATCTGTAATGCATAAAGATTATTAAAAACATAAATGTTTATCAATAAATATTGCATTTTCTAATTAAAAAATAAATTTCTGAGAAATTTATTTTTTCATAAATTACAAACACTTATTGCATATTACAAACACAAATATAACATAAAAGTGAAAAAGTAAAAATCGGCATCATATATTTAAAACTTAAAAAACTTGTAAAAACTTTGTAGAAAATACACTAAATAAAAGCAATGTGTTACAGATACAAAATGCCTCCAATTTTATCTTCAACTGAAGCAAAGTTATCTCTTTCATCTTAGTCCTTTTGGAAAATCACTATGTATCATTTTATTGTAACATGATTTAAAAACAAGATTTATATTAAAGTACGATTTTTTATAATTCTGTTATTGCTAAAAAAAATTTCAGATTTTTTTATTGTACGTGACAGAATATATGTAGGTATATCAGAATTTTTAAGATTAATATTATTGTGTGTTATAATTGTCTAGCCATGGTTAGATTTCCTTGTACAGATCTTATAAATGTTTACACGATTTATCAACTGCCATGTCTACGAAATTTTATTGCACTGCTGTACGGTATTTACGTTGAACTTTTATTATATCCTGACACTCAAAGTGCACTCATGGCTTTATTGCCCAACATAGCAATCACTATTGGTTTTCGATGAAATAACCACATGCACATTGTCAATAACGATGATCGATAATCGAAAGTTTATTCTTTGTAGAGTAGCGATGCACTCACGAGGTACAGCAGCTTGACACTTGCTCAATAAAAAAAAACTAATAATGATATTATTAACCTCTCCTACAATACTTTTAACATTCTTATTTAAAAACATAGTCGAGCTTAATCGCCCAGTTTATCTACATGTATCAAAACGGATATCAAATAATAATTCATATATGAAGAATAAAGCATATATAGAGCTGTAACAGGATGTTCGTGTTAAATAATTTTTATTTTCAATAAATAATATTTTTTCAACCATAATAAACTGCGCGCCAACATATCGTCAGACTTGCAACACGTACAGTTCTGGTTGGTGTAGTAAAATTCTCTCTTTCCCTCCCCCCCTAATTAAATCGTTTCGATTTAATTTTGATGCTAAGCATCTAAAACTGTAAAGAATTTATTGCGAAAAATATTACCTCAGCCAGGATATCAGTTCGAACCTGGAACTTCTTTTATTCCATGAAGGGTGTCGTACTCTAATTTGACCACTGAGCCATGTGGTAATATTTATCGCAATAACCTATTATTAAACTGAACTGAAGAACTGAAGAACTATTTAATAACAGGTTATTGCGATAAATATTACCACATGCCTCAGTGATCGAACTGGTATGACATCTACCCTTCACGGAATAAGGGAAGTTCCAGGTTCGAATTCTGGCTGAGGTAATATGTTTCGCAATAAATTTTTTACAGTTTTAAATACTTATCATCAAAATTAAATCGAAACAATTTAATTAGAGGGAGGATGGATTTTACTACGCCAATCAGAACTGTGTAGTAAGTCTGACGATTTGTCGGCGCGCAGTTTACTATATGGTTGGAAAAATATTGTTTATTAAAAATAAAAATAATTTAATACAAACATCCTGTTATGGCTCTACGCCCCATTCTTCATATTTGAATTTTAATCATAGAAGCCTTTTAAAATTATTAAATCATAATGTTGTTTTTCTTATTAAAAAAAAAGTAAAATAATATAATTCCTTCAGAGAGAGAGAGAGAGAGAGAGAGAGAGAGAGAGAGAGAGAGAGAGAGAAAGAGAGAGATATGTTTAAACGCTCAATAATGATACATAAAGTACGACAAAAATGTTTTCAACAATAAATGTTATTTTCTACAGCTTGTAAATTATTATTTGCACAATAATCGGAGAATTTTGTACAATAAATATATATATAGCAAAAATGTATGTAGTAAAATTAATGTAGTAACAAATATAACAAGAATTCTTATAGTAAATTAAACATTAAATTCGAATATAAAAATACATGAATATAAATGAAAGTTATGCGAGGAATAAAACAATGAAATTATTATCGAAAGATAATAGAAACCCGTTCGTAATCATCAATTTCAATGACATTAAATTTGATAAAAACTACAACGTGAAATTTAGTGTGCAAATTAATTTTAATTTTTGATATAAAAGATTTTATTTTCTTGTAAAAATAAAAAAAAATTATTGCTTATGTAAAAATACGGGATAAATATAATAAATTCCTTAACATAAAATAAGTCGAGTGACAATAATTCTTGTTTTTACATTATTTCTAAATGACAAAAAACATATTTTTATGTTCTTAGCAGTTATTATAATTAATTTAATCTTTTTTTTGTGTAATTACTTTGTAAATGTTTGTCATAGTAATATGGCTCTAAATTAGATTTTTAAAAATTTTATTTTAATGAATACATTCGACGAAACTAATTTTATTAGGAAATAACTTCATTAAAACTTAAAACCTTTGTAATTCTTTTTATAGCATGTAATCATGTATAATTATGCCGAGATAAAAATTAATTAGCCATGTAAATTAGATCCGCATTTATAAAGCAAATTCAACTCCCGGATCCTACCTTTAGATAGGATCATACTATAATCTTGTATTAAAATTGCCTAATGAAACATAAGTCGCCAGTTTATGAAGTAGAATGAGTCGTGTCGGCTAGATTCGAGACAGAGACGAACGAACCTTTCGTCCAATCTGAAGGACGACCTGGACAGGTCGCTCCATGCGCTCATGCTCCGACTGCGTCTCCTGCAAGACTGCTGCGGTGTCAGCAGTCTATTGCTGCTCCTTCGCCTAGTGGACGCCAGATTCTCTGCTTGAAAATACACTCTAGGCGTTTTCTGCTGGGATGCGTTCGGTGGCGTCGAGGTCGGCGTGACCGCTGGCGAGGTATGGAGTTCCGGCAAGGCCTCGTAGTCCCATGCTCTGGCGCCCATATCGAGCAGGGGCACCGACGAGGCTGCGCTGGAACTACGGACCGGGTCCCGAGGCTTGCGGTGACAAAACAGGGCGAAGATCTTACAGCACCCCTCGTTCTCCTTCTCCTTCTTCTTTTTCTTCACTGCCGGCAGCTTCACTTTGAAATAATCACAGGACGTGTGAGATCTACCGGCGACGTCCGGCCACATCGTTCCTTCGACCACATCGCCGTAAATATTCTCCAATTATTTAGCAGAATGGTTATAATTGGTTGACCAAGCACGATGAATGAATCCCAAAAAATATGTAATTGGTCGATAACACAGAGAAAAAGTTGACGAATCTCGTACGAACATCTTGAGAAAATAATACCCACTAACGCGCAATAATGCTGAATAGCTTATTATAAAAGATTTAAAATTTGTCCGTTTTTTCTATTGTTTATAACTTGCTTCATTTCGCAAAGCTATGTCGTAAATGCTTGTATAACTTTATAGCATTTTTGTGTTCATATGCTGAATAGTCCATTAATCTTGCATGAGCGTAGCTTCAATATATGTTATAAGTGTATTTCGTGCACTCATTGTTCCTTTAATTATCAAAATCAAATTTAAAGAGAAATCACTGTCGGTAGAAATCCGAAATCCGTACTCAAACATTGCAAAAAATAACCAAAGCTTTTCTGTTTCCAGTTTTTAAGAAGGCTTCAAAAAAAGATTCAATTAGAAAATATTATTATTATTATATATATATATATAGTAACAAAATTGTGGAGAAAATACTTAAAGTTGTTTCGCTATTGTAAAAGTTTATTACGTTCTAGCCAAGAAGTATTGTCTTTCTTAGAGGAGTAACTACAAATACTTGGAAAAAGTAAGTTGATGAAGGAGAAACGAAGGTAATCTTTGTGACCTATTCGTGATAAAAAAAACCCTGAAGCGATCTTGAATAATTCCAATCTTGTACCCGATTCACCGAGTAAATTTATATTAGAAAGAATTTGTAAGTTCTGGTTCTTCAGAAGTGAAAGAAACGCTTGCTTCTTATTTTTTTTTTGTCGAAATAAGATGGAAGACTTGCAGATGCAGTAATTTTGCGAGGTAGTTTCACATAACTAAAATATTTACTGCCTTTTTGAGAATATTACAAGTTATTGCCTAAACCGCTATAGTTGATATTATTCAACTAATAAGCTCTTAATATTATTAACAGCATTCATAAAAATTCTGAAAAATGTCGTAACTCTAAGCATTAATTTCTCCGATGCTAATTTACATAATGATTCTAACAATAAACATTTACTTTTTAAAAGCAGTTTCTCAAAATTCTAACTTTCAACGAGCTTTAATAAATCTCATTAACTAACATCTTAATATAATACTATCAACTATATATACTTTTTTGTTAACTATGTGGATAACAATTTGCGTCGGCTACTTTTGATCATTGAAAATGCATCAAGAGCGTATAATAACAAACAAAAAAAAAGAGTAACTTGAGGTTTTGTCCTGTTCTTGCCTAAAACCGTTGTTGAATTTTAAAACAAAAATGAGAGTTTCATGAAGCTCACTTTTTCTTGCACTAGTACTTTTGACATCAAGTGACGCTCACATTGAAAATCATTATCGCAAGATAACAATAACGATTGATCGTAAATAACAATGGAACAGTGTAAAGTATTAACGCACCTTGCGTAACTACGGAAAAGTGTATTCGGCAATTCCCTTGGAATCCTTCTGTATTGATTCGCACTTCTCTCTTCGCTCGCGAAATGAAAATACACTTACGTTAAAACATTTTGCGAGGTGTTGAGTGTCACATTTTTTATCTTTTGAGCAAAAGTTAAAAGAGTTTTCTAGTACTCCGTTGGCGTGGTCACTTTTTATCAAAGTAAAGCAACGTTTATTTTAAACTTATGTTACTTCACATATTTTTTTATGCATCACGAACCTATATAAGTTATTAACGATCGTAGTCACACGCACAGGAGCTAAACCATAAAAAGTATTGGAGTACCAAAACAAAATAATACACCGCTCATTTTTTTGGATGATCTCTTTTTACTACTATCTTTTTCACTGAGCGAGAAATGCACGTTTTATATGATGAGAGTTTTGCTAGAGTCTCATTCCTCAAAATGATATAATAATGTCTACTGAATGCACAACAGTCTGATTGATTGCTACTGTCACCGCGACGGCGGTCATAAAAGCATCTGGAGACGCATTCGTTTGCACGGCACCGTCTGACCTGAATGACGTCACATGATAATCGAAGGTCACGGTCAACGGATATAGCAACTATAACAACGAGAACGCGCACCTTTGCAAGTTACGCGAGCTCAATTTTACTTAATATCTCGATGAGATTATATCATCTTACTTTAACGTCTTACTTAACAAACTCCTGAATGCTTATATCTTTCCATATATCTCAAGTTTAGATTGTGTTTATTGTTTAATTTATTGTAAGCTTCAGATTTCATCGATATATCCATAAATCCATACTCCAGTGTCTCAAATATTTTATTAGATAGCAATTAAATTTCACATATGTGAGAATATTCACTTTTTTGCCTCTTAAAATGTCAGTTTAATGTGCGGAAAAACAACAGCTGTTTTCTTGTTTAGACAACAAGAGCTTTGGATCATGTAGAAACAGGGTGTGATTCTTCATGTCATGACATACATCTCACATTTAGAATACAATAAAACCACTTTTCTTGAGAATTTGTCAATAACAAGAATGTATTCAATCATTTAAATTTTATCTTTAATAATCTTTGTTGCCTCTATTTCGTAACATTTCTTTACGTTTCGGAAACGTATCTCAAACACATTCCTGTCCAGTCACTTAAAAATTCTTCTTTATATATCAATTTTTCATATAACTGGTATTCTATCGTAAGTATGAAATTCTTCGCGTATCAAAGAAATTCTTCAAAAATCATCAATGAGAAGGATACCGAAAACTTCAAGTTCTCGTTTGATACCAATTAATAAGCCGTAGTACACTCGCCGTAGGTGGCAGGGTCTCACGAGGATACCGTTCCACTGTCACTTCTGGAGACAGTTAAGGGAGGATCGTTATTCACCTCGTCGTCCTCCGATTCGCTGTACTCAAGAACAGGTGTTTGCATTGTTAGGATCTCAATGAGATCAAGACCTCGATCAAGACGGTAAGTGGTGCGCTTTTCATCACTTATTTAAAGATGAAACTTTTGAGAAAAAAGACATAGTATCTTTAACGTTGCGATCTACACGCGTTCATGATACTTCCCAGCTGACATCGCTGTCCCTTGTCTCTTTGATTCACGAGTGTCACTAATGCGGAATTTAACGGGTGTTGTGCCGTACAACGACGAAATGCTGCATCGTCCTTGACATTCGTCGAGCGCGTCGCGACAACTGATATAAAAACTGGTACGACTTGATCACACCCTTAAAGAGACCCAGAGTAGCCTCGAGAACAGTCCAGTATAAATATTACAATTATCTCCACTTCCTCACGTAATACGTTACGTTCTTGAACTGAACGACGTCGGGAATCGAACACCTTCGCGAACAATCTGTCCTCATAAGATATGGAATGGCGGAAAACGAACAGCCGAACAATCGTATTGTCTCAGCCAATAGTGGCCTTTTTCGCGGCGTGAGAGAGGAAGACCAGCTCACAGCTCACTATCCCGTACTGCGGTACACGCTAGCGGTTTTCTCTCGCGCGCCACCCCCTTGCGCCCGACCGTCCAACCCCGGTATTCCACCTTTTCTCTCTAGCTAGCTCCATCAAGCGCGCTCTGTCGCGCTCTCTCTCTTTTTCTATCATCGCGCAGGGTGTAATCGTCGTTTATCTCACTCACTCCTGTGGACGTTGTCCTTTTCCGTCTCTTCACCGTCCGTCGACACCGCCGTGAAAGGGAGCACATACACGCACATGGCGCCGCCGTTGTCAAGGCGACTGCGCCACTTTGTGGAGTACGTCGGAGATCTCCACCTCTCATCATTACAGCTTAGCAGTCCGTCATGTCCAGGCTGCTCATGGATCTCTCGTGTCCCGTGAATAATAAATGACCGTGAAATCGAGATAAATGACGATGACGCATGCGATTTATTCATTCCCTAACGTGGTCGTGTTTTCAGTTTCTTCATCGTTGTACTTCTTGAGAAAAATGACACTACCGAGCTGCAGCCAAAGACGATTTGCAAATTTTTTGTCAAAGAAAAACGCATGTTTTCGTGAGTCTGTCTTTTCTCTCGATGCATTTCTAAGATCGAAAAGAAAGCTGTAAGGTGAGACCGTAATGCATCTGTTTTTCTGAAATTCTTATGCTAACTATTTTTAGTCAAGCGAATTTGTTTTCAAACAATTATTTTTATCCAACTGTAATACCGTTTTTCTGTTTCATGATATTTTATTAATTAAATTATTTACTAATTTTTGTTTATTAACTTTTGTTAACCTCTGTGAATGAGCATCCCTGTTTAATCAGCGAGGTAACACGTACTCTATTAAGGGTATGTTTGCACTTTTGGGGCGGTAGGTTATATTGGTGTAACGGAACTGTGGATGAATGGACGGTTCGGAGAGACAGCATCGATTTGCACCGGGAGCCAAGCTAAACTTGCGTGACGAGCATGCGCTGTGCACAGGCGGAAGGCTTGAAAATCTAAGTGACCCACGTGGTTCGCTACTGTATGCACCGAGAGTTTGCGTAATAAAAAGTATGAGCGCGAGAGACTAATGTTTTTAATGGAGTTTTTTCATGCTATTTGTAATCTGATAATTGTCATTTTTTTAAATACAACTTCATGCTTGTAACACACTTTTACTTTTTATATACAAAAGTTTAGAGATAAAGATTCATGACACGCGAAATAAAACCGTGCTTGTTAGTGTTTATAAAAGATTAAAAGCTTTTAGGTACTTAAAGATTACATAAAGTACCTGGTAAAAAACTTTTTATATAAAAATATACACAAACATACAAATTATATATAAAACATGTCTAAATATGTTTTGAATTGTTTTCTTTTATTTGGATAATCTGTCTGTATATATAAAATAAATAATAAAAAGAATAATTAAAAAATAATTTAAAAAGTAACTTTTGCATTGTTTTTTTTTTACAAAAAGTAAAATAGTAATTAGTTTATATACAATATTCATAATCATATATGTACATATATAATTATATTTATATTATTACGTTTATATGTACAAGTTTTCTCATTTTTTTAAAGTTTACTTTTCACAAAGAAGCAATACAAAAGTTATTTTTTCCTAACGCGAGCGTGAAATGGGCCGCTTTTCGTGCTTGTTGAGTGAGCAAAACGATCCATTTTGCAATGATGACGTAAGCGTTGAAACATGGAGCCATTTCTCAACTAGTGGAGAAATGAAATTGTAAAACAAGCGCGAAAAGCGGCCTGTTTCACGCTCTTGTTAGGAAAAATAGTATGAACAACTCGTGGGAAGAGTGGTCGAGCCCAAATGAGTGTGATGGTCACACGAGCGAAGCGAGTTCACACTCATTCAGAATCGATCACTTTTTCCACTAGTTGTACAATATACTATTTTAATTATATTTAAATATTTTTATTATTATTTCTATATATAAAAACAGAGATTATACAAGAAGTAGAAAACATATGGATATACAATTTTTATATGTGTACAATAATATATATTTATGTACGTTTTTAGGTTTTTATATATACAATTTTCTACTAAGTATTTTTCAGATCTTTTTACAAAATGATGTGTATCTAGAAAATTATATCGGGCTGTATATAAAAAATATAAAATAAAAATAAAAGGTATTTTAAATATTACAGAATAATCTTAATATATTACGCTAGTAATTGGGGAGGGGAAAAGCCTTCGGAGCGTGCGGATGGTCGGGAATTAAACGGAGTGGAAAAGAAGTTTCGGGGAATGGAGTGAGGCAGGAAGAATGGAGCGGCGCGTTGGAACCGAGGGAGGAAGAACAGAGGAGGCGGAGTAAATGAAGGAGACTCCGAGAGGGAAATAAATGAAGAAAGATCCTGGAATTACGGAGAGAAGTCTTGGAGGTTAGGACACGGAAGAAGCCTTAAGGAAGAGGGGGAGGAGACGTCAGAGGTGAGGTACAGAGGAAGAGATGAAGTTGCCATGACGGTAGGTGGCGCGCGGAGCGGGCAGACGGAGAGACAGCGTGAAAGCGACGAGAGGCGATGGTAGGGCCCCGGCTGGAGCTGAGACGGCGCGGGGTGCCGGGCTCTCCAAAAGAGTGGGTTGGCACCACTGCGGGGCGTCGAGGCGCAGCATATGGGGCGACGAAGGAGAGATGGACTGTCGCGGCGGCGAATGGGGAGCTGCTAGGGAGGTCGATATCGCGCAATTGATCGAGAATGATGAGTCAATCGAGAAAGAGGAAAGCCCGGCGATAGCACGTGAAACGAAACTAAGGCGAAAGACAAAGACGGAAAGAAGACGAAAATAGCGAGCTGAAGGAAAAGAGGCATAAGAAAATAGAAGAAAGGAAGGAAAGAAATAGGCGGAGGTAAAGGAGGTAGACAAGAATAAAAGAAAGGAAGAAGCGGACTGAGACAGAATCCGAAATAGAGGAAAGTGATAGGAAGGAAGAAATTGCTGATAGTAGAGATAGAGGAAGAAGAAGACAAAAAGGAACTTTTCAATAAACGGTGGAAAATGAAGAAGAGATGGGGGGTAACCGTAGACGAGGAACTGACCAGGGAGGAAAGACACGTGAGATGGAGGATAGAAGAAAAGGCAAGAAAGGAAAGAAGATTAAGAAACTCAGCGGTAACCACAAGTAGTCGAATATGGATCAACGGAAGAGAGATATACTGGAATGAAGACAGGAAGGAATGGAGAAAAGTGTGAGGAGAGCACAAAGAAAAAGAAGAGAAGGAACAGTCTGCAAGAGAGGGAGGAGAGGAAGGAGAGAAGGAGTTGGGGCTGAAGTTAGTAAATGTCTTTTTTTTGCTAACTGGTGTGTTCTTTTGTAGAAAGGTCGCGGAATCTAAAAGGGAGGAGAGATTGGGGACAGCGGAGACGTGACAGAAGGAAGATGAGAGGAAAAGATGTCAAAGAAAAACAGATGGAAGAAAATAGAGGAAGAGCTAACAGGAACTGGAAGGAGCAGAGGGAAGGATACGAAGGAAGATGATAAAGGGGTTAATAAGGGAAAGGGAGAGTCGGGTAACTAATCCTGTAAGATCGCATAATGGCCAGACTTTTTTTAATACGGATATATGTAAAGGGTTGGGAACGTCCCTGCAAAACGCCATGTAACAGCCTCCTTTCAAGGCCGAAAGGCAATTGAAATAAACAAATATATATATATTACGCTAGTAATTAAATGTTGCTATTGTAAGATATATTACTATTGTTAACAATTAACATGATTTTATTACACACATGTTGTACATTTATTGATATATATGTACATATATTGATTAAGCCAAATATTCTCATAAGAGATATAATATCATATATAAAGTTATTTTCTCAGTATTCTAACTTAACCATTTATTTATAAGGCATCGGACACATCACTTTACTATTTATGCGACAAACTATTGTATAATAACATTATTTATTATATGGTGTATAACAGATTATACGTATTAAGTTCTCTTTTTTTGCATTATTTAATTCATTAAATTTTTAATTAAATTATAAATCTATTTCAATAAAGTCGGTTTGTATGTAAAACGAAATAAAAAGGATAGATTTTTATTATTGATCTTTCATCGTAAAAAAAGATTTAAAGGTCCTAAATTTTTAATTGCTTAAGCATAAAAATATCAAATGTTTGACGAGAATATTATAAAGGAAACGCTATATATAATACTGATTAATAAAAAGAACTGAGGATAAAATAGTATATTGTACAACTAGTGGGAAAAGTGGTTGATTCTGAATGAGTGTGAAGTTGGTCGCACTCGCTTCGCTCGTGCGACCATTACACTCATTTGGGCTCGACTACTCTTCCCACGAGTTGTTCATACTATTTTTCCTAACAAGAGCGTGAAACAAGCCGCTTTCCGCGCTTGTTTTACAATTTTATTTCTTCACTAGTTGAGAAATGGCTCCATTTTTCAACTAGTGGAGAAATGGATCGTTTTGCTCACTCAAAACAAGCGCGAAAAACGGCCCATTTTACGCTCGCGTTAGGAAAAGATAATATATGTATATGAATAAATACTGCAATAAAGAGGCCTATTAACAAGCAAATACAAAATTGCCAAATATGCAAATAGCATAATTGATTGATGCGGTTGAAGAACAGCGTATAAAACTTCATAAGGATAATAACGGAGAAGACAAGCGTGCATAACGAGCAGAATATTGTGCCATTACATGGCACATATATAGCTTTATTTCAAAAATATATCGCTTCTCTGTTGCACATTCATTTTTTAGACAGTAGATTGTACCAATCGGATTAATGGAGTAGTAGATTTGTGTTTGCGCATCAGAAGCGTAATTTGAATAACAAAATAAACCTTTAAAATCAATCAGGTGAATAATTCAATAGCTTTTAATTTGTTTTGCTCGTATTATTATTTTATACAATACTACACAAAAATTGTTTATACCAGAGAATAATATTTGCATAAATACTGCCTATCTAAAACAAAAAAATATTTGGCGAATTTATTTCATAAAATTTGATATTGTCTTAATGCGATGTAAAACATAAATATTGAGAAACAATAAAATTCAAATTGCAAATAATATAATAAAATATTCTTAACTGTAATATTTTCCCTTTTTTTTTGTATTAAAGTATCATAGTCAGTTTTAAATCCAGTATTTTTTATTCTTTACACAATATGCAAAACATGTAAAGATAATAATATACATTAAATTAAAATATTGTAATAATATACATTTATATCTCT